GCTTTTTCACTCCGTAGGGGAAAAAAAAAACGGTTTGTAGGGACGTTTGTCTATATTCAAGGTTTAAAGCTTATCTTCCTCACTAAGCAATTGACTTCTGAGAACCTGTTACACCAAAGAGAGGCAGAATTCACTATAAGCTGGCAATGTCAGAGTATAATTCTGCTATAAACCAGCACCAGGAACGTTTTTGTGTTTAATCCTGTAAGCATGCTTTAGTTATCAAGCATTTTAATTTTAAAAATCTTGAAAAAGCATAATAAAAGGATGAGCTAGTTCATTTTTTTGTAGTAGAAGAAATGTTTGTTTTAGCACAGTCTTAGACATCTGAAAGAATTAGATACTGATCATTAAAATATTCTAGAAATCAGCTATTATGAATGTAATTAACATAGCTTAATGAATAACTAATAGTATCCTTCTTGTTAAAGAGGATACAATATGAACGTGTTCACTGCAGTAGATTTGTTGTAAGAAGAAGTATGTTAAGTGAGATCAGTTTGCATATTTGACAGCAAGCCCTGGCAGACAGATAACAAACCTGCAGATTTATGCTAGTTATTTAAAGCAGGAAGAAACAAAAAAGCAAGATTTGTTCCATTTAGATGAGGTAGCTCTCTTATGAAGTATGATCTAACAGCTCAGGCTTTGCATTAAGGCTTTCCTTGGTAAGTGAAGTGATTCAATTAGGAACATGTAAATATTGAAACAGTCATTTCTTTTTTCAAGTAAAATATTGTTCATACTGTGCATTTTTACTTATGGTGTAGAGCTTTTAAATTAGAATGGCAAAGCACTCAGTACAGTGTGATTGAATAGCTAAGTCTCACTTTGTCAAATTTGCTGATCAGTACTGAGGCATTTTGAAGCTCTGTGTTTACTAAAGGACAGGAGTAGGGATGGGCTTTTCTTTTCTGTCCTGTGTGTTACGCATAAACAGTATGTTCTCCATTAACAATCCTTCCTCTTTTTTCTCTTCCTTTTTATTTCTTCAGACAAGATCCTTAGAGAGCGTACATTATGAGACAAAACAGAGCTTTTGTCACAGAAACCTATAGAAACTCAATAAAAGGAAGGGTTTTTTACTCAGCTGAAATCTTTAGCCATTCCCCTGGGAGAGAGGAGCCCAGCATTTCTAGTCCATGTTCTGGAACAGTTTATATACTTTACCACTTACTGTTTAATGTAAAATATGTAGACCATTTTGAGAACAAGGGCCAGAACTTAGAGTTCTTCCTTCTCAGAAAAAACAGTTTAACTACTAAAGTAATGCTCCTGCTTGTTCACTCCTCCTGAAGCCCGAATACTTGCTACTCTGTGGTACAGTTTCAACAGGAAATGGAGAAAGCATCCATCCTTCCCTTCCAATCTAGTAGCTAATAGCTTGTGATTAGACCTCTTTATGGCAAGAGAAAGATCCAGGTTTCAACCAGTTTAGAAAAAGAAATTTAACCCATGCCTGCCATTTTTCAGGTGACTGATTAAGCAGCTGGAATGCTCTAAAAATGTTACGCAGCACTATATTTTCTCTGGGCAGATTCTCAAGGAAAATTGCAATTGCACCTGACCTTGTGTGTTAGATGTTGAATCCCGGGATTAAGTCACCAGAGCTTCTTGGTTTTGGATTATGCTCAAGTTTAGGTATGATCTAGGAAATGAGTTTTTCACACTAAGGATATGGGCGTGATCAGGAGAACAACTTTGGACACCTTGAGGACTCCAAGGTTACAGGGTGAGCCTTGTGGCACAAATTGAGGGCAGATTTGGGGGAAAATTGCTTAGCTGTAATTTTGAATTTAAGTGCCTCATTTCCAATTGTATCTTACTCTCAATGCCCCAGGGTACCTCAACACTTCAAAGTGCAAAGGTCCGTGAGCCAATACTCCACAAAATAAATGTGAAGTCTGTGTGACCTGTGGCTGCAGCAGCTCAAGTCTGGAAGCAGTATGGCTCTATTCCCACAGTGCTACCTCTAAGCTAACCAGCTTTACAGAAGGGGCATAAGCACGTGAGTGAGGTGACACTGCTTCAAAACCCAAAGTCACCTACATTAAGTCAAATCATGGTGAAATTCAGTTACCTAGACACAACAGGCATGTAGTGCCATTCTAGACTCCCTGGGATAGTCCACATGTTCTCCAGACGCGTCCTGGCATTCAGAAGCTTCTATGTCCTATTTACCTATACCATGCTAATATCTCAGATAGCCCACAATGTCCAGAAATCTACTAGTACATTTGTGTTTCAGTAACTAAAACACTTCCCAGGTCCTTCTGCTTGGTGTTTTCCAGCTCTTCCAGATGTCAGGTTCACGTCTGTGCTGGCCTCTGTGCTCACTGCAAAGACATGCCTGTATACCTTTCAATGGTGGTAGTCCTAGAAATACTTTTTTACAAGTCTGATCCTAAAAGATGTTTAGTATTCTCAGCTTTCATTTAAGACAATCAGAGATGCAGGTGTACTTGGCAACACTGAGTCTATGTGACTAGTTACCAGTTTGCATGATTAGGATTGTTCATCATGCTTAATATTCTCACTGAAAGCAGGTGACTGATATCTCTGATCTATGTATAGAAATATTATCTCACTTAGCTTCCACTGCTTTATTTTTATGTTGTCCTAGAGATGAACTATCAGGGTATTTTTTCTGTGGCTGCTATATGACTAAAACTTTAAAATTCAATTATCCTCAAACCAGGACTGACTCATAAAATATATTGGATATTTTATAGTCTTGCAAATAAAAACAGATTTTATTTAGGACCAAAAGCATATTTCCAGTTCTGCTTTTAACCCATTTCTAATCTGGTCACGAACAAGTAATGTTCTTCTGAAACAACAATCTGCTGGATTTGCTTGGTGAGAGAAAACTTCCTTTGAGCACAATATCTCCACATCGCTGTGCAGTCTTAAGCTCAGTGTATCACTGCCAAATATATGCATACATATTCACTGGTCAGTACATTACACGTAGACAAAAAAAGAAATGTGTTATCATCATGATCTTGTCCAACCTTCTCTGATTTAGTTTCTTCATATCTAAAAACAGGCTGGCTAATCATACTTGTTTGCAAAGTTCTTTGACCAATACTGTAAAAAAAAAAAGCTACAGAAAGCCTAGATTTTGTTCAAATTACACAACTATTTAATCCCTAGATTCTTCGAATCTATGAAATCTCAGAAAAGAAATCATTCGTAAGGCTGAATTTCTGTTATAACTCCTTTCATGTACATTTTTATTATCTAGGTAAACAGCTTTCAGAAACTAGCTGCTTTCAGGCTCTGACCTGAATTAACCTAGCCAATAAATGCAGCAAAAGTAATTTATTTTATCACTAAATTCCCTTATCATCAACATAATACAAATAATAATTTAAAATGAAATGACATTGTAGAATTGTATCTCTTGGATTAAATTAATATTGTCATCAAATGCTACAGTTCTTACCTTGGCTCAAAAATACTTGTCTACTCTCTGTTTTCTCTTCTATACTCTCAAATGTATGAGGAAAATTGGTGACGCTAAATCTTTCTGTGAGTAAGGATCACATAAAATTCAAATAAAAAGTGATATTGTTGGTCCGAAAAACTCTTTCCTCAGAGAGCACAGGACACATTTTTAAAAGTGATTAAGATTTTTGTTTTTTTAACATTTGGGTGCCTTATGATTCTCAGGTTAGGGATATACATCCATTTCTGAAAATCAAGTCATACAGAGTATGGTCTCAACTGGACGTCGTGATGGTGTATTCACGTGAGAACTTCCTCTGACGTGCAGAACCAGCCCCTCACAGGGCAGCTGTGGCTTCTGCATGGTTGAAAAGGTGTTGTGTGAACACAAGAGCATAGCTGCTGGTGTGGCACCACCGAGATGATGGCTTCTTTGATCTCTTCAGTAGTTCGTGGATGTCCCATATCTTCCAGTATCAGCTGCTGGGTCACATCCAAATAGCTGGGAAAGTTATCCTCAGGGATAATAGCTCTGAGGATGAGCCAAAAGGAATTTAGTCCCTTTTACTAAGACTGATTTTTGTTTCTTCAGAATAAAAGAATACCCCGTAGTTTGGACATAGGAACACAGCTTCTTTCCCTCAAAGCCAGCTCCGCTGCTTCCCTGATGCAGTCCTAAGGCTGCTCTCTGGAAGGACTTCTTTTGAGGCTCCCTGTTAGCAAAATGGTTTTCAGCCTTTCAGACCTGCTGCCTGCTGGACTACACCGTCTGCCTGAGAGTGAGGAAAGACTTCTTCGCTGTGCTTGCTTCTGTCTTTCTTCCGGAGGCCTGTTTCCAAGTTTCTGCAACATTACCCAGGATGAATTTCCCTTTCTCTGTGGAAGCTACTTGAGCCTGGATCATGTACAGCTAAGCCCCAGTTACCCTTAACTGGTCAGCGTATTTCGTGGAAAAATCAGCAATCACTTTGAAAAATATAAATGCACATTTTACATGCTTTATATTGTTCTCACTGATTTTAGTGTTAATATTTTCAGAGAATTTAGTGGAGATAGTGCTGGACTTTAGGCAAGCAATCTCATTCCTCTCCGCACCCCCCCCCCCAAAAAAAAACCAGAACATCTTTGTGCCTACAATAAAAACTTGCAGTTTGACAAGCCTGAGGGAAAGACAAGGAGATCATTTCCAGTAATTTTTCAACTTCTAGCCGTTCATTCCTTGTTTCCCATTTGTAGTTAATATCCTAATCTCCTTTTCTTTTTCTTTTTCATAAAATGTTAAAGAGGAAACTTATCTTCCTCCATCCCCGTCTTATGATATATTGAACACAAAGATTATGATGTAAAGAAACACATACAGTTCTTGTGGAGAGCTGGCTGGTTTTGCAAATTGTTCCCAGGTGTTTTGTGTCTCTTTCTTACTTAAAGATTATACAATTAGCATTTTAATGTCCCACAAGTTTTTGCTGAGTTCCCTGGGAGGATAGGAATATGAAGCCATGAAGCTAAGCTGTTTGGTATTTATCATGTGCACTCTGATTGTATTTCAGAGCTCTGGGATTTAAACAGGACATCAGTCTTTCACAGCCCATTTGGATATCTTGGTCTTCAAATAATGCTGCTGGATGAGTATCAAGAGCGACTGTTTGTGGGAGGAAGAGATCTCCTGTATTCCCTCAGCTTGGATCGAGTCAGCAACAACTACCGAGAGGTGGAGTAAAAAAAAAAAATATATATATATATGTAAACCACAGCTAGCAGACGCTTGTGGACATTAAATTTTTGTAGTTTAACATGAAAGTCATATTTATCTCTAAGAAAAAGCACTACTTACCATTTTTTTCCAATTATAACCCAGAAGAGTCACTCCAGGTGAAGAGGTCTGGAGAATATATATCTATTCCTCACTATTCTTCAGCATGTTTACTGAATCTTACAGCACTTTGTGCATACATTATTCCTTGATTATACATGAGAGATCAGGTATCTCAGGTGTTTATGTAGAATTTTTTCCACAGCAGCAGAGAAGAGGAGATTTTTTTTTTTTCCAAAAAATCTTACAAACACATAAACTACAAGAGGTATTCAACGGCAGTATAAACCAGCAACTATTTTTATTGTTCTTTAGAAACTGCATTTTGCATCACTGGCTCAAAGCCAATACTGGTAAGTACTGGCTGAAAGTATCACTTGAAGTCTACTCAGTGGCCTGTGGGAGAAGGATGGTTTACAACATATTCCTACTGAAGAGCTTGGCACATCATAGAAACCACAGCTGACTGACACTCTGGCAATTGAAGTGGAGGGACTAGAGTATGAGAAGAGGTGGACCATGGCTTCCTTATTGACTTTTGCCCGTGGTAGTTGATACTGGAAGCATATGGCAACGAAGGAAGCTGGCAGAGCTACTGCTCCCGCCTGAATCATCCTGACTTTGGATAAAAGATATTCTTAAATATTTCGGTTTTTTTCTTATCTTTTTTTTTTTGAAATTTCCCCAATATGTTCTGAAATACTTTGATTCATTCCTATATCAATGAATGAATAAGCAAATAAATTAATAAATAAAGCACCTCTGGAGAAACATGATTTTGGTGAGCTCCACAATACACTGACCACTAGATTAATGTTTCAAATTCTTTTGTTTCTGCATCCTGAAACAAATAAGTGAATATCACTTGTAAGTGAATATCACTATTCCCATGCCTACAGTATCATCAACTTTACCATAAGCAGCCTTCCCTATCGCCAAGGGTAATTAGCATGTTCTACTATTATGAATGGATATAACATGTTTTTTCCTTCTTACAAACAGTTTGGGAAAGGTGGTCCTAGATAGAAGGAAATGGATATAAATACTCAGAGAGGCCATTTGAGAAACTGTCTATATAAAAGCAATAATAATAACAAATTTTTTTAATTCCTTGGAGAGTAATGTTACGTACTGAGCTTTGTTCCTCCACAGTGAGATATGTTACCTCCTTTTCCATTTAATAGGAATTATTAATATCGTCTGACAAGATATTAGAGCCCAGGGGTACAAAAACATTTAGGAAGCAGTTATTTCTATAAAATAACCCTTTTTCCCCCCTCTTCTTCCTTATTTGGCAGTAAATCAGATGAGGAAAGATGACAGCACAGAACATTTTATGCTTCTGTCCAATCTTCATTGTCCCATCTGGACACACTCTTGAAGTTCATTGCCCTCTATTCAGCTATTTACTATGCAACTATACTCTCTGCCCTGAGAACTGTGTGCACAGTATGACAAATTAATGGAAGGTCTTCTTGCCTGCTTGCCTGCTTTTATGATGTGCAAAAGATGAGAAACTAGAACAAATGGAGCTTGACCTAACTTGTTGGGAAACATGACCTCACTGAGGCTTAAAGCCTCTGCCTACAAATGTCATGATTCTTTTTCCTTGTTTCCTCAACATTCATTTAGTGCTGATTTCACTCAGCAGTACCTAGGAAAAGCTTGATTGTCCCACAACTTTATCAGCAAAAGTGTGGAATGACGTATTTCTGTTATATCAAAGCTTAGTTACTGAGATACATAGCATAAAGTTTCTGGAATCGAGAGACTGGTTGACTCATTGTTATCCAGGTTCTTCATTAGATTGTCTTTAACTATGTATTGATTAGGCTTTGACCTTTCCTTTCAAACTGAAGCCTTTAATTCAACTAATCTAAGAAGACACTAGTTATAATCTAGTGAAAGTACAAGAGTAGAGGCAAGTTTCTGTTCCTCATGCTCTCTCCAGTAACCAAGATGAGTCACTAGCTGCCAGAGAGATGTTTCATAAACACAGCTTATGTATGGTAGCTTTGAGGCAGACTTCATATATCTTTTGCATTTTCTAGGTTCTTCAGTTTGAGTTTTAATTCATTGTCATCCTTTTCCCCACAAACTGGAATATGAACATATTCTCTCTAAAAAAATAAAAAATAAAATAAAAATAAATAAAAAAAAAATAGAGCTATATCCCTTCTACTATGAAAAAAACAGTAATTCCTTAGATCTAATAAGCATAATAAGACTCCCATAAAGAAAAACAACAAAAACAAGTTGATTAGACATAAAATGTTTTTTGCATTGAGGCCTACTGACAGCCAAAGTAATCCATCAAATTCAAATTATTCACATTTGAGATGTACATTAGGGGGCTGACCTGCTGGAAAGCAGCTCTGCAGAGAAGGACCTGGGAGTCCTCGTGGACAACAACTTGGCCATGAGCCAGCAATGTGCCCTTGTGGCCAAGAAGGGGTGCATTGGGAAGAGTGTTGCCAGCAGGTCAAGGGAGGTGATCCTCCTCCTCTACTCAGCCCTGGAGAGGCCACATCTGGAGTACTGTGTCCAGTTCTGGGCTCCCCAGTACAAGAGAGACATGGCACTGCTGCAGAGAGTCCAGCGGAGGGCTACAAAGAGGATGAGGGGACTGGAGCATCTCTCCTCTGAAGAGAGGCTGAGAGAGCTGGGCCTGTTCAGCCTGGAGAACAGAAGACTGAGGTGGCATCTGATCAATATGTGTAAGTATGTGAAGGGAGGATGTGGCCAGACTCTTCTCTGTGGTGCCAGAGGCAACGGGCACATACTGAAACACAGGAAGTTCCATCTGAACCTGAGGAAACAGGAACCTGCAGGAACAGGGGGCTTGGACTAGATGATCTCCAGAGGTCCCTTCCAACCTCAACCATTCAGTGATTCTGTAAGGCCTGCATTCAATAGACTATATTGTTCCCTAAGGTTCAGTTCTCTTCAACTTTCAAAAGTCAAGCAACAGTCTAAAGTATAGATTATAAATTTTCTATGTGATTTGTTGTTTATATATTTTTATATTTAACAGTATTAACAGCGTGTATTATCCTAGGCACGTTTCACGTCATGCAGAGAAGGGATATGTATGAAACTGCAAAAATCTCTCAGGGAATAAAACTACTCCTGTCATTTCTGCATTGGGGGAACTCCAGGGATCTGGGTTTAGCCCACAGCTGTGCCGTAGACCTTCTATGACATCTTAAGGAAACATATAGCATCTCACTTCCCCATTGATCAAGTGGAGAGTAATTATAATTCCTTTACCTACTTTTTATCTTTTTTTGTATCCTTTGTATCTCTCCCTGCATATGACGGGCCTAGAAATTTTGCTGAACCATAAGCATTCCATGTACAGTTGCTTTTGTGCTTTGGCTCCTGTATGAAGAATGCCCTAACACTACTAGTGGCAAGAATGATGGAGAATACGAAATGTGGATATCCGTTATTTGCAGAGGGTTAAAGCCTTACAAATACTTGAAGTCTTCTATAAGCCAAGGCTTTGGACATACCCTCCTTGTGACCTTCACTATGCTTAGAGATCTCATTCCCTTCGATACCACCTTTGGAATCAAACTTTGCACATATTTGGGACTTGATCCAAGGTCTTTAAGGCTTGTAATGATCTAACACACTGACAGAAAACCTTCTTTGGTGGCTGGTACCAAATTAATTTTAAAAAGCATTGCAGTTCATTGTAACTGGTGCCAGACCAGATCTTTGTTGACAGGAAACTTGAACCAATGCCAGTAGTTCACCGTCACCAATATAACATCCCGTAGAGAAGGATCACCATTGGTTCTATTTTTCCTCTGTTGTACAAGTGAAAATAATCTGTACTTCCTACTTATCCAGGAACTCCTTACAGATATGCATTCTTCCTAGCTTATGCTTCAAAGTGCTAATGAAGGGCTAGCTATGAGAAGACTTCTTACATAAGTCAGTAGGCTTATGCAGGAAGATTTCGGTGTGCTTTATCTGTTTCTGGTCCAATATGAGATAGTTCCAGATTAGGAGCTTTCTGTTAATGTGCACTGATAATGCACCCTGCCTCTTGCACCTCTGGTGAAGCTAGCTACATCTCTACTCCAGAGCTGGCTTAACAAAAATCAGCAAAAGCAGGGCTGGCTTGCGTCTCCTTTGAATATCATGTAGGAATGCACCACATTCAAATTTAAATGAGAAGCACATAATTTAGCATAATTTTAGTTTGATTATCCATTGGAATTACCTCCCTCGAGACAAGCATGGTCTCCATCTCTTGATAAATACATATAATATCTTCCAGTCATAACTAGATGCTTTTGCAGAAGTTGTGCTTCAGCGAAACAAGAGTTACACTGTTTGTTAAGTACTATTTATCGACTTAAAACAAGGACAGACTATTTGAATGAAATTTAATTGCTCTGTCACAGGCTTGCGTTCAGACAGGCTCACACAGAGGTCCATTCTGGCCTGAAGTGCTATAAAGCTCATACCATTTCCTGAAATTAGTTTTCAGTAGACGTGTCATCCTGTTTTTTAAAGTTAGTGGCTTAATAGTGAAGCTGTTTGGAGATACTAATTAGGATTCCAATGCCAATTAAACTATTTCCTTTATCTGAATTTGCTGAGTAGCTGTCATCTGTACTTGTAATAAAAATACATGGAATTTATAAGGCAGTATATTTAAAAGTAACTTTTTCCTATCTTTTCAGTTCAATGCTAGAATTATATCACCAAGGTCGTAAAGATGAAAATATTGTGATGCAAGATGAAAAATCATCATTAAACATGCAATTTGCAAATTTGTTGCAGAGTAACTCACAGTAGTGACAGGTTTTGAATAATTATGTCCAAATAAAAGGTCAAGCACGCAGCCAAGCAAAATGTATGTTTGTGGGATGCTGCACCAGTCTAGATGCACAGGAGAAATTTCCCAAGAATGGTTATTGACAACTTGCCAAAAAATTATAATCCTGGCAAAGAACCAATGTGGAGTTAAAGCTGACAGTTGCCATAACTGTAAAAGCATAAACACCAGGAAAAATAACGTTGCAGGTTAAAGGCTACTATTACAGCTGATTAGTATCTGGATTTCTATGCAGTGCAGACACATCCTATGTTTTCCCAGTTAAAGAAAACTGCGATAATTAAACAAATATAATTAAGCACGGTGAGCATGTATTGATAAAGTTCTGCCTTTGTCCACTTACTATCCATTTCTTTGAAATCATGACTGACAGACTGAGCAGCTCTTCTCAGTTGCATAAACCAAGCTAAGAAATCTTTAAAAAGATTTCAGCAATAAAAACAATAAAATAAATGTTTTTCATGTTTTCCATGACTTTTTTTTCTATACACATGCTTGGTACTGTGTTTAGAACCAGAACACATGTAAAATTGAATTTTGGAATTTGGTATGAAAGCAAAATCTAATGTGCAGGCTCCATTTTGGTCTCTAGTCTAAAAGAATCTTAAAGAGACTTTCAATCTCTTTTAGTGTCTACTTATGTTAAGACTCATGAGCTGCATAAGAGTTATGAGCCTTAAAAAAATCATTTCTGGATAGAGCTTCTTCAGGAAGCTGATATTACTAAGATTGTAATTCAGGCCCATCTGCTTCAGGCAACAAGCATGAGCTTGCCTTGAAGGTAGGAAGTTGGCTACAGGCATCTAAGATAGATGCCTATACCTCTGCAAGGCCAGGGGAAAAGGTACAGAGATGTCTGTCTGTTTTTCTTCTTTTGGTAGGAACCTTTCCATAACTTAAGTCATGATGAGCATCCTAATAGGAAACACACACGTATCTGAGCTGCTGTAGGACTGGGGCTGAGCTTTGAGAAGGATTTGTGCAGGATTCAGTTTGGAAAGCAGACACCTAACAGTAGTGATAGATACAGTGACAGAGGGTGTCTCATGTTGCACATTAGCCTCTTGATTAGAGTAGCTCACCCAGGAAGTAAAGCCCTTTTTCTCCACTGTAAGAGGTCTGTGTACACACCCCCCTCTTGTCATTAGGGTGTACTAAGGAGTAAATTATTGCTGCTTACAATGCAGCTGCTTTTCAACATCCAGACAAAGAGGGGGCAGTGAGTTCTTTCTTTGGGTTTCATCTCCCTCCTAATTCTGTTTATGCATTTAATTCAGTATCTCTTAAGTGGAGAATGTGCATATAAAATCTTTTGAATAGCACTGAGACTAGATACCAAATACAAAATTAACGACTTGCACACAGTGCATTCAATACTAGGTTAGAGAGCCAACAGTTTGTATTTTTCTCCTTGTGGTTTGTCAGTTTGTAACAGCACCTTAAATCACTGATGTAGCATCCACTGATATAGATAAAAGCTCCATTTTAGCCTGGTGGTTAAGGCACTCCTTTGGGAATGGGGTGCAATGGGTGCAAACTGTTAGAGGCTCAGGAGATCCTAAAACTCACACCTCCAAACTTCTAAGTAAGTCAGTGCTTTTGGGTTAAAAACAAGCTATTGCCTATTGAAGCCTCCACCAGTGACTAAAGTACACGACTGCGACCACCACGCTTTGCACTGAATGAATCAGGAATGCTTTGCGCAGGAAATTGCAGAAGTGCTCTCACAGGTCTTCAGCAGAGTTCCCCAGCATACTCAGAAGCAATATAGACTGTAGACAAGACTTAGATATTTTCTCCCCGTGGCAAGGAACGTCTGACCGTACATAGGTGACTATGAGACTTTTGGACCCAAAGCGTGTTATGATTAATTTCAGATTCCTTACAGGATTTAGATTCTGTCTGAATGTAGGTGGTTCGATTTGGCCACTGAGACTTAAACACTTACAGGTGCTGAAGCTGGCAAGGATAACATACAGCAGACCTCTTGCTTTTAAGCATTATCTATCTAATACGTCTCCAGGATTTATGACTTTATCCCCATGGCTTGGATTTTCTTAGATTAGGATTATTTTAAATTTAAGAAAACTAAGATAATTAAATTACCACCCCCCCAAAACGTTTTCCAGATAGAAAACATTGACTGGACTATTGACAAAATGTATTAACGATGACATCCATTTTTTGATTCTCTCTCTTAATTTCCGAGTTCTTTTGTGGAGATGTTTTTATTTTCACTTTTAAAAATTCTAAGAATTGAAGTAATCATTCCAGACTGCTTAGTCATGGTTTAACATTGTTTTCAGCGAAACAAATCATGCTTCTGGAATGAAACATAAATTTTATACAGTCGGCAACTGAAAAGTGACTGAAAAAAATCCTGCTTGGGCAATTTGGCCTCACTTACAGTAATTGACTGTGAAGAGCTGATTCTGCTCCCAGGGGGTTAATTGCTGACCCTCATTAACTTTGCTATAAATTATCATCTTTCTTAAGTGTCACTTAAAGTAGGAAAGCAGTGCTTCAAAATTAATATTTTATAGGAAATTGTAGAAAGTCACTGACAATTTATCAGGGCTACTCCTGCTGAGTGTTTATAAAATGTTCAATATATTAACTCTTTCAAAATTCCTTTGGCTTGTATTAAGTTTGCTGAGTTACCCCAAAGAAATTCCAGGAACAATATTTGTTACACTATTTTACACTTTTATAAATATTTAAGAATAAAACTAGAACATTTTACCTGAAAGCTGTTCCAACATGTAAAAGAAATTATTAAACTCTAGAATATACACTGTAACCATAAAAACTGTATATATACTAAATGAATATTTCACATGAAAAGTAGTGAAAAAACTGGACTAACTTTGAACTATGCATGGTCCCATTTGTATGATTTTCTTTTTTTTTTTTTTTTTCAGATCCACTGGCCTAGTACACCTCTGCAGGCAGAAGAATGCATAATTAAAGGAAGAGATGCTGTAAGTATATTTGATTCATAATTAATGATACTTAAATTATACCAGTATCTGGTCTAAAACAAGGATTCAGGCACCCCTAAACTTTGAGAGATCAAAGCACAGATACAATTCTAAGTATTGCAGCTTAAACATGTGCAAGTACTGTGAATATACTAAATGATTAGTTTAATTACTTTTTAAACCAGCTTATAAATGGCCAGTGAACACTTCTGAGCATCCGAACTTTCTCCTAATTCTTTTTCTGGTAATACCAGAAAAGGTATATTATTAATTTCCTTTTTCCATTTCCCTCTCCCTTTCTTTCCATGTACGTAGAATGCCCTCTCTGCTCAATCTTCTCGTACATTCTAATTTCTCTTTAAAATTCGCATTCTCTAGAATACCTACAAGAAAGCAGTTAAATTAATAGCAATTACCAAATACTCTCTAAATAGTTTTGCCCTTTAGGTTTTCTGGTATGTTAATATAAATATTCTGTTTTTATGAAAATTGTTCCATGCTTGTGATTCACTAGCAACACACAAACACGGCTTTGACTATAACCAAGTCCTGGAGAAAGACATGAAAGCTCACGGACTTACAGTAGCTGATATCATTGGCACCACAAAATGAAAGTTTTTTGGACATTTTCTGGATAGTTTTTCGTTATCTACACCTAATAAATACGCAGTAAATACAAAATGCCTAATAGATCTCACAGATGAGAGAGCTCACATTGTACCAAAGGGTTTGAAAGTGACTATAGTTTTTAAAAAACAGTGATAGGAACAAGAGATATAGAAGGGAGCATACACGGTTTTGCCATGCAAGCCCTGCATACAGCCAGCCACAAAGACAGCCACAACACATATTCCCAGGAAAACCTAGGAAACTATATTATCCCTACTGAGGTATAAGCATGAGAAATGTCCACATCAAGGGAACAGGCGAACCAGACTAGAAAAATGAAATAATAATAAAAATCGACAAGCTGCCTTACCCCTCACACTTTCCTGGCACAGAACTGATTCAAAAGGTTCATTGCATTTTTCTGGACCATTTTTAGACCCTTCAGATTTCCAGGTGGGTTTGGTAGAAAAAAGTGTTTTTCTGCACTATTCAAACTTGATGTTCATATTAAATGACTCTAACATCTTGAAGTTTATCTTATACTACCCCTCAGCATAGGTTGTTATTACCGTAAAAAGTCCATTACCTTTCCATTGCAACAACATGATGGGATATGTTTTCTGATACTTTATCTATGATTTTATTTTGGGGGGAGGGGTCACTAGGGAAATAAACACTTATCGCCTTACAGAAATAGGTACTTTAATTCCAGTGTAAGAGTTAAGTTATCCCCCAAGACTCATGAGATGATTGCCAAAAATCACTATATTTTCAAGCCCAATATGTTGTTATAACTTGAAATTCGTATTGTGATGAATGTGAATATTTAAAAACTTCCTATTTTTTTCCTATTCATTCTGCCCTGTGAAAGTCTGATGTCTGCACTTTCAAAAAGAAGAGCAAAGGATCCTTACATAATCACAAGACTTCAGAAAATGAGTCTATAAGAAAAAGATGTTAAAATTCTAAAAGCTAGAAATATTTTAACACTAAACAATAGGAATTATTCTGATCCTCACATGCGATCCAATTATGTGTGGGACCATGCAAATGGATAATGCTAATTAATTCCGAGGAACCTTAATAATTTTCATTAGTATACTCAGTGAACTAAATTGCTCAACTTGAAAGGAATCTAAATTAGAATCAAAACAATTCCCATTACTTTTCTTCTTATCTGCTTCATTTTTTGTCACCATGCTTAATGGTGTTATGTCTTAAAATTAACCTTTTGCCATTTACAGGTTTTGGATGCTAATTTTCATGCTATAATTCTCTGAGGAAAGTAAAAAATCTCTTCAGTGTTTTTAAATGCCTTTGCTTATTTCCATGCTGTTTCACTCTTCATTTTGCTTTATAAAACGTCTATTGCTCACTTCATAACTGACATTAAGTAGAACTTTAAATGTTGTAATAAGCATCTCACTGTTCAGGTATTTCACATGTTATCTGCTTCTTTCTATATATAACACAACAGGCCACTTCTTTCACAAGCTCTTCAAAGGTTATCAGCTCATCGTGTAGCAGTAAAACATTAAGTATTGTAGTCATAAACAGTTTCAGAAAGCTTGTAACAGACCAAATAGGACAATTAGAAAAGCCTGATCTTAACAAGATGTGCATCAGCTTAAACCTGGGCCCTGCTTTTCTGATCAGGACCAAGACAACGATGAAACCCTTCTGCTCTCATCCAATGTGCCAAAAACAACGCCTGTTAGCCTGTTAGACAGCTTTGAATCTGTACAATTATTTTATCAAAATTGAAAATCATTCAGAAATAGAAATCAAATTCTATAGTGATGACTAGTTTCCTCACACTGAGGAGTTTCAGATGAATAAAATTCCACAAATCTATTCATGTTTCTACTGAGCATGCTAAAGACAACCACAATAGTTAATTATTCAATATAGTAGGAGGACAGTTTATTTTAACTTTCCCCTTCCTGATGCATTTTAATGACCTCCCTCCTTGTTATGTGTATGGGATATTATTACTGGGGCGAGCAGCAGTGCCTAGTTGCCTGGTGCTTCCCAGAATAGCACCCTCTTCCATTTATTTATGATTTTGATCAAGTTTAGCCATTTGGAATGACATTTCTATATTTGGTATCTGCCTCATCCAGTTTTTTTTTTCTTTCTGCAGAAAATTTCAGGCATTTTTATGAACAAGTACAAGCACAGGAAAAAAATGTGTAACTTCTTCCATTGAAAAACAATAATAACAAAAAATGCCCAAAGATCTCTTTTCCTCCAAGGTGCCTTTGAGACAACGATCAAGAACTGCAGAGATATATGGGGGGAAAAAAAGCATGGCAGAAGGCATGAAGGAAGGATCACACCAGCAGAGAGGCAGAACAGAATAGATAAGGCAGGAAATTCATAACTGAGGGGAGAAAGAATGAGGAAAAGTTTCAGTTCCCAATAAAGCATCTACTTTAAAAACTGCAAGAATCATAAAATTCCTATATACTACTATTTCACTAATACTAGTCAACAACGGTCTGTGAAACTCACAGGCAAGAGGAGCCTGTCTGCCTTTGAGTGCTAACCAGTATATAGAGGATGACTAATCTCAACTCATTGCTTCTCTCAATTAGTCTGATAAATCAAATAGCAGGTTTTTTTCCAGTGGATCTAAGTAGTTCCTGGTGATAGACAATGTGGATGGCCCATGAAGAAATAGCTGTTTTTTTAGTTTCTATTAAAAAAAAAAAAAGCTCGAAAATTAAAAAGTCCTATAATTAAGATTATGCAAGGTTAAATTCTCCTTTGCATACACATGATATTTAATTACATAATGAGTTATCTGTCTGTGTAGGTTACCTGCTTCTTTCAGTTAGTATGATATATCTTCTTGCTGAGTGGTTAAGTACGCAGCAAAGCATGTAATAAAGGAGACATTTTCCATAGGATTCTTATTCATTTGTTGGAGAAGTTAGAAGACCTGCAAAGGCCTAAAAGGGACTGAAGAAAGTGGAAAGATAGTTTATCAGTTTTGAACTTAGTACTGTTTTGTAAGCGCTGAATTTTGCTCATGCCTGTAAGACAGAACCCCCCTCTGTGACGTTAAGTTCTCACAGATGGTCATTAAGATCCAGGATTCTTCTCATCTAAATTTAATAGTCTGAAAACTAGTCATCATCTAATGTAGTCATCTGGGCTTCCTATGCTGTCATCAGTGAAGGACAGCGATTTTTCCCAAAGGAAATTCCTCCACTCTGTTTTATACATTTATTTTAAGATAGAATTAATCGCCTTTTGGAGATGTCTGGTTCTCTTCATTAGCTATTGAAAGATCTTAGATGAATAATTAGGTTAAGGGTAGGCATCTTAAAATAGATATCTAAACTTTAGATAGCTAAAGCTAGCCAAGATTAAACCCATTGCAGTTGTATCATCTTAAATTCTGTGTGACTGTCTTTAAAATGCAGGGTCTGAGTTGCAGAAATGCTGAGCAATAGAAATGAAAGCAAATCTTGCTCTAAACACAGAAATTACTGTATAAAGTTAATACCGTGGAAAACTAAGTCCCAGGAGTCCAAAAATCAATGGATATTTTTATCTCACTCTCTCTGTTTCTAGTTTAGCACTGGAAAGATAATGACTCCACATCTCAAAGGGATGTTTGAAAAAATTTTAATTGCAATATTTATAAAACTGCAAATACACTAATGAGTCCCAGAGTATGGCCCGGGAGAAATGAATGATTTCTTCAAAGGAGGGTCTGAATAGTGAAAGTAGATAAAACATGGGGTTATACAATTAAAAAAATATATTGATTAGCTATTCATTACACATGAAATTAATGGTGCAGTGGTCTTACGGAAAAATATAAAAGTGTTATTTTTCTTGAAAGAAAGTTTATTTAACGTAAGAGAGAAGTCATTTGCTGAACATTCATATCTTATACTCTGAGCCTAGTATCTAGTGAATATAATAAAACTTAGTAGAGCAAACATTTAAGTTTATAGAATAACTCTGAGATTGAAGAGGTACAAAAAAATGTTTTATAACTTAATAACTCCTAACTAGTTAAGTGTATAAAGTAAGTTGTGATAAATCAGGACTTTAAAATTTGGGATTTTTTTTTATGTCACAAGTGTCCATCCATGAATTTGGTTTTAGCATGAAGCAGGAGAAACAAGATTTTATAGGTAACGGAATAGAAATTCTCAACATGCATACTGTCATCTAAGGACACCTGAGATATTTTCTTTTTTAAAAAAATCTATTTTCACATGTTATGATTTACCTCTGTTTATTTTTTCTGTAAACAAGGATGAATGTGCAAATTACATTCGTGTCCTTCACCGATACAACAGAACACATCTTCTGGCTTGTGGAACAGGAGCTTTTGATCCACTCTGTACTTTTATTAGAGTTGGACATCCATCAGAGGTAAGAAATCTATTTTACAGAAATTACTCTTTTGCTCTGTATTTCAGAAAGTCCTCCATGGTTAAAAATAAATGTTTAAATTCAAGTGTTCAGAGCTCTTATACTAATCATATAAAGGATATTTTCACTGATGAAATATAACGTTGGTCCAAAATTCAGTCTATCAATAGAGAAACTCACTGGTAACTGAAGATGTATTCTGTAGAATTATACAGAGTTGGAAGTCCTTTTCATTCTAGAATTTTATTACTAGTTGAGCTGATATAGCACTTCTTAAGGCAAAATTATTCTTAAATATTCATAGTTTTTAGCTGAATCTCTTTTTTAGCTAATAATACGCTGGGTAAAAAACACATCTTTAGTATATTGGGAGATGGAATGCCTTAATCATTTTTTGTCAAATTCAGTTTCTCAGTTTTGTTCACATTCAGCAAGTGTATGCTAATTCCTTAACAACGCTTACAGATGAGTGAAATAGTACTATAGAGAAGGTCAGTAAATGCAGCATATAATCTATATTGTCAGTGTATTTCTCATGCAAAAATATTATTTTTCTGGATCTTTTAGAAATCTAGATCCTTGCAGTCACAAGTATATTAGGTCAGCATTAAAGAATCAGACTAGAAAGTGCACCAATCTCTCACTTTAAATTAGCATGTAACCTGCCTTAGGCACTGGACCTGCTCCTGGCTATGTACAACCTCTGTGCTGCTACGTGGAGTCCAAAATGTCGAACTGTTGGTCCTGCTCACATCAGTCTTCATCCTGCTCTCATTGCCACTCTAAAATACTCATGGAATTTATGAGCATATTTTGAAGTACCCTACATTTAAAAGCCTTCTTGAGGGCCTGAATTTCTTCAGGTGTTATCAGATTGAATTTGTGGTTAAAGATAGAATTTACATCTCACGGTCTTGGAAATCCAGTTGAAAACATTCAATCAGAAGTTCAAGGTGAAAACTGGCCTCTCAGTGTGGGCCTTTATAACATACTTAGCAATACTGGGGAGATTATTTGTTTTATTACAAGATGGAAACAATGGAGCTTCTTTGGGCCTTCAGCCTCTCAAAATTTTGGTCAGATCTGATCACTCTCCAGAGTCTGAGAAGAACTGAAAGTGGAGGTAGTGTTTTATATATCTCAGAGACAGTCCTGAGAAGGCCATGGATTTTGCCCTGGCATACTGAATGGGAAGAGAAAGACGAACCAATAGAAGAAGCAGGACTTCAGTAGATGGAAGAACTGGTAGGCAATCCCACTGCTTTACCCAGGCTGCCATGCAGCTGGAGGAGGGTTTAAGTAGGCTGCTGGAGCGTCACGTTGATGACTGCTGTCTAGGAATCTGGAGAAGCCTGAAGACCATCTGTAGGCCAAGGTAAGAATGATTTTTATTGGCAAATGTCAGGAACAGATGCTGGACAATAGGCTTTCTTAATTGGGTGATGTTTGATGACTTTTGCTGGTGAAGCTGAGGGCTTGTCATGGAGGTGGTATTAGAGCACCATCCAAGGGAATTCTTGCTGTCCCCAAGGCAAGGAGTGGGATTTCAAACTGATTGCAATTATATGAATCCACATTAGAGGAGGGTTTATTATTTATTGTATATACTATTTACACAAAACACACAGAGCAAAACATAAAGACCAGCTGTACCGATGTATGGATGAACATGAGAAAAAGCAGAGCTTCAAAATAAATGAAGTTACAAGTGGTTTTCTTTCCATTTCCAAATGTTTCATAACATTTGCCAAAAAGTTTAAAGCTACATAAGAGATAGTCAATTGATGTGTGTAGAAGTAATGAAACCAGGAAAAAGGAGAAAAGCATTGTATTTAATATTTTCTGTAGCTGAATTTGGATAAACTGGAAAAACTCTCCTATATTTCCTAAAAACTTGAAGCTTACTTTCTATGTATGTTGCACAAGGTTAAGGTCTGGGGTATTTTCAAGTGTGAAAGAAACAGTGCCAATATACATTTCTCTATTTTTGCCAAAGTTTTGTTCTTACTTTTAAGTATGGTTTTAATTAAGCATGTGACTACAAAGAGGACATCCATATATTTTTTTCTCAGTTATTCCATAACAGAATTACTCAGTTTATCCCTTCAAAAAAATATGCCCCACCTAATTCCCTTTCTCATAGATTTTCAGTTTAAGTTCTCCTAGCCAGACTGGGTTTATTTTGTCTCTTAGTCTTTAATTATTATGCTCAATATTTTGCTGACAGTTTTGTACCTAGTGAGTTAAAGCAACAATTCAGAGCCATCCCATACCTGCAGTCTTACTTATTGATACGTTAGTTGGGAAAATAGGAAAACTGAGGACAAGAGACGAGAGCTGATTTAAAATAAGCATTTAGCTCAGATAAATATATATGGAAGATAAAAGTTTTTATAAAGTGTACTCATATGAGTCAATGAAGGCATTTACTTTAGTAAATTTTTTTTGAGTAAGCCTTTCTGAGTAAAGAGGCATTTCTTTGTTTCTGCTCGTGTGGTTCTAGTTTGGTTTGTCATGCTCCAAGATCCAATCCATGCTGTGCACCTTCCTCAGCCATCAAAGTCAGAAGTACCTCGGAAGTTAAGACGCCAGCACAACGCTTATACTTGAAATTATTTGAATTGCACAAAGACACTGTCTTCTAAAGACAGTTTCTGCTAAAATTGAGGAAGGAACTACATAATAAGCAATAACTTTAAAAGAAGGCAACTTTGCATGTCTTCATTGTTCCTGTCATGAATATCCTGTCAGGCTTCCTGGTACAGTGTAAAGAAAGCAATGTCTGTATATTTAGTAACACTATTGAAGAAAGTATAAGCAACAGGCTGATAAAAATAGACACGAAGCAAACAAAAATTGAGAAGCAAGATTTGTGTAAGACTGAGCGTGGCCCGTGATCCTCCTCTTATGTATCACTGTCCTTCCTTCCCTTCTTTTTGTTTATTACTTTCTCTTGTCAAACTGAAGTTCTAAAATGTTACCCACACTGAAGTCATGGGAAAATTACCACTTTGCTGTCTGTGTAGACCAGCAGGAAATATATTTGCTACAGTAAAAAAGAACTATACAAGTTTCTAGTATGTCAAAAGCTGACCACCAGGATTCAAAAAAGACAGGTGCCATATGTACAGTAGGTTAAAAATAACACATGGTATGTGATAGAGTGAGCAAATTGCAATCCTCTTTTCTTTAACTGGTAAGGACACCATATAACTGCAGGAAGTGAAAGGGCTAGATCCCAAAACTGCAGTTCAAACTCTGATTGTTGCTTCCTCCTTAAAAGAACAGCCTGAACCAATGATTTCTGATTATTTTTCGCTAGTTTCCTCCAGCTCAACTCTCTTACCTCTTGCTCACTTTCTGACTTTCACAGAAGGGAGAATAACAAGCGATTGGCAGCTGCTCCCCAAAGTCATAAGGTCTAGCCATGGAAATAGCCTAATCAGGGAATACAGAGATCCTTACACAGTACAGCTGGCTCACAGCCAGGCTCAGCTGGAGCCCAACGATAGCATCATATTCCTTGCATTTTTCTGAATTCTTTTTTATTAGTAAAGACAGTTGTACAAAAGCAGATTTGTTCTTTCCTAAAAACTCCCTTTCTCTTCCCAGCTCAGATCACAGTTCTTCACATCTAGGTTGATAACATGCTCCGCAGCTTCTAAAGGTGTTGCCAATAAACAGAAAAATGTGATTAAGAGAATTATAATTTGAGTTGGAGACATTACAAGCAGAGGAGATGTCTCTACGTAAATATTTGTAATGAAGTGGAATAAAATAGCAACATAAACAGATAAATAGGTGATAAATACAGAAACTACCAATAGCAAACTTAAAAAATATATGATGAGGTCATCCTATTTATAAACAGGAACCAAAATATGTTTCTTAAAAAAACTAGTAAACCTCAGACTTTTTATTTGAAGGGTGAATGCTGTTTTATAATGTGTAGTTACTGGGTGAAAGGAACATTTTTTGAGATTGTGGATGTTTTTACTAAATATATTGAACTTCAGTATAAATAAATTCTAATTTTGATTTGAAAACTAAGCAGCTTCTGAATGGAATCTCTTTATGTAGCACGAGATGCATTTGAAGCTTTATATACCTATTTGAAACGATGACAGTTTCCAGACATGCTGAGGAATGAAAGGTGAGAAGAAAGAAGGGACTCATTATCACAGACTTCTCTGTATCTAGATACATAGCAAATGAAGAAAATAAAGCTAGCTTCACTCTTCCATATGGAACTATGTATCAGCAGTATCAATACAGGGGAAATACTTGCTTTGTGCTCAGGAACCTTAAGCGTATGTTTCAACAGTGCTTCTTGAGCCAAGAGAAGACGTAACCCTCTAAGTAAAAACCGTAGGGCTTTTAGATTATAATATTTATGTTAATAAAAACTAAGGATATAGGAGTTTAGGAACTTGATAGAATAGCAGGACTATATTTTCCACAACCTTATCCATTGAAATTTACTGAACAGGCCAAAGAACAAAATGTCTGTTTGAACTCTTGTTCTTGGGGGTCTCTAGTCCTGCATTACAGGAAAACATGTTTCATTGTTGGCATATATCGAAAGTTCAAAAGCCATTAGGTAAGAAAATGGAATATTGCAGTCCTTCACTTGGACTGTAATAACATCCCAAAGCCATGTTCATGATCATATCCATATTATATGGGGATGCTGTATCTCAGTAGAGTATTTCAGTAAAAAGGCAATGTTTTGATAAACAGAAGCATTCTACCTCCTGGATAGGGTCTGCCTTATATTCTCACACAAATACAAATTCAAACTTTCACGTCAAAAATAGGTGTGACCTGTGCTTGCAGAACGCTGAGCTCTGTCAACAACCACTGAAGCCAAAAGGAGATTTCAGTCTGAAAAAATAGGCAGAATATGGTTGCCTAATTGACAGAGCATTACTCCTTGGAACTTATGGAAAATTAGAAACTTTAAGCTGCTCAAAATACCTAGTAAAAATGTATATTCCCCA